TGGGGAAATCCGATGGTTTTATGATAATGATTAATCATTCGTTAAATTATTAGTGAATTAGTATTTCAAGTGAATTATAATAATCTCTATACATATATACAATTACCCAAAGTTTTGCAAAAAAATGCACATTGTTAAAATCGGTCGTCCTACTATACTCATTATAAGTTTATTATAAATTTGTCCATATTTGCTTCAAATGCAGAACTTGGAATTCTCAAAACTTGCTTTTGACTCCTTTGCTCTATGCTAAAATGAATCGAATTTTATTTAAAAATCCAAAACTCAGTTGATGAAAATATGGCAGAAAAATTGCATCAAAAGATGCCACTTTACACTTTTATTTTGTAAGCATAATGCATCTATATTTTGTAAGGTCGGCCAATAAAAGCAGATGGTAATGAAACGTAGAGTTAGAAAAAATCATTATTGCATTTTTTTTTGCTAGTTGTCGATGCAAATCAATATATTTGCATATTTGTTCACAAGTAGGAAGTCCAAATTAATACTAGAAGAAAGTCGAGGAAATTCATTAATGTATAGTTTGTAAGGTATATGACAAAATTAAAAATATTTTTAACTTCCCGTAGGTTATGTGTAATCGTTCTAAAATCCAAAATGAAAATGTTTGCATATCTTCTGGACATATTGGCATATCATAGAAAAAATGGATGTGTGTGTGTATGTATGGATACAATTTTTTGTCCACGATTTCGGGCGCACGGATCAACCGATTTGAATAATTTAAAAAGGCATGCATGGAGACATGCTGATTAGTTTTTGGCCCAGGCAGGTCCACCTGTTTCGGAGATACGGAGCAAAGAGTTCAGAAAATAGAAACTAAGTTTTTGACAGATTAATTTACGTGTAATGTTGAATATAATAGCGGCTCTGCAGCGAAAACACACAATGTTTTTTGTACATTTTTTTTTTCGCTAATCTTAAACTTTGAAAATGGTGCCAGGGTTTCCTTGTCAGCGTGTGTTGCTTAATAATAATGTACGAATAATAGTCGATGGCGCGTCACACACGTCATTATCTGTCATGTATATCCTGGTGTCAAAATGTTTACATCTGATTAAAATATATTTGGAAATAGTGAGTCTGTACAGGATATGACATTATTGTATCAAGTTAACGGATTTGTTCTTTATGGCCTCACTTGACACATCACGAAGCCGATTGTCTTGCATATACATATTCACGAACAACAAACGAACCGAACGGTATTTCTAATGTTCTGTGACTTGTGCACATGATAGAGACATTGTTTTCATTTCGGTAACTGTTTTACATAATGTAAGATGAAATCTCTATATGAATCATTTAATGCTTTGCGACAAGTAATTTTATTGAAAAATTCAAACGCGTGCATGAAATATAACTGTTGTATTCTGATGTGGATGCATGAAAAAATTTGCATTTGACGAAGTGGATACACATATAGTAACTATGAATGGTAGTTATAATAAATTCACTTTATGCATCCGAACTATTGTGTTAATATTGTATTTTCTTTAACTATTGTTGAAACACATATTAACTTAAATTTTATTATATATCATGAGTGATGTCTAATTTCATTAATATTTGATTTAATACCAGTAAATTATCAGTTGATAACTGTACCTAAAAATATTTTTGATCTATATACATACGCGAGCAACGCGTCATTACCAAAGCAATCTAGAATATTTCTATGGATTGAAACAAATTAAACTACTAATATGACTATTTTTCTTTATTTAATATGTCGAGTAAGGGAGACTCGATAGATTTTTGTCGAGGAGGAAAGACAGGATACGGCTGTGCCAGGGCACGGTAGTGACAGTCTCCATAACAGATAAACTATACTGATTTTGACATAGGGTTCAAAAGGAGATGTTGTATGTTTGTTTGAACATGTTCCCATGTTTGCATTCAGTCTGTGCCTTACATTAACTTTTTAAAGTTTGATTTCTTTTAATAACTGTTACTTGTATCTAGATAGACCACTTTGTTTGTTATTTTGCTGTAAGAAGAACATTGGTATAGTAAATTACCAGCAATTAGTTTTTGCATAGATAATTTAGCTCAGTCATAACGATGATTTGTTCTCTAAAGTTGGCTTCGGTTGTGACATGTGGTTGTGGGTCTTGCCCTTTTCGGGTGAAGATTAAACATACAAGGAAAAATATAACTTAACTAACAATAAGACAAAATACGAAAGAGAAAAAGAAAGAAAAATTGGATACAAGAAAAGAAAGATTTCCCAAAGATTTCTTGTTAACTTTGTAAAGAAATTATTGTAGTTGTTATATTTTATTCGTATAAGCTTTGTTTAATTGTTTATGTTGTGTTGTGTTAAATATTAATGCTATTAACGACACCGAACGAATACTAATTATTTTATTACAAAGCAGAGAAAATTTTAATTTTTTCATAACTATAAATCTTCTAAAATAAAGATGCAAATGTTTTCTATTATGAAGCAATACTTGTACAACACTAAACTAAATCTTCAAATCTCTATAAAAACTTACATAAAGGTTTAAAAAAAAAGTAAATTCTTTAAATAATATACCATAAATATAATTGTAGAAACGGAGTAAAGTTTTATCTAACATAAGAATAATTCGGATTTGAACTTGAAAAAACGGATTAAAGCACTAAAATTAAATTCACACCAAACTAAATTATGCGTTTAGAAATCAACATTAGTTATAACATTTTATTCTTCAAAACTTAATAATAATCTATATATAAAGTGATACTTAATAGTACATTTTTGATATACCTGTATCTTTGGTTTTAATATCTATATATTCATTTAGGTGTTTGTGCAGATAGATAATGAAATGCCATTGATTATGAAAGGATGATTTGTTACAGATAGAGTTATCAAATAATATTATTGAATACGTTTTTAATGATATGATACGCTCATATAATATACGATAGTTAATACTTCAACCAACTTTCAATAAAGTTAGTTCAAGTATTAATAGATTAATTCAAATCAATTACGCATAATAGTTATATAAATAATTTTGTTAGTTAAGTTAGATTTTTTTTATCTGTTTAATCTTCGCCCGAAAAGAAAAAGAAATACATGTCACAATCGTACCCAACGCATTCTTTTGAAAACAAATATCAGTACGGTTGAGCTAAATTATCTAAGCAAAAACTAGTTGCTGATAAATAACTACTCACGCTTAATTTACAGCAAAATAAAAAAACGAAGTGATCTAACAATTAACAGTTGTTATTAGAAGAATCAAATATGAAAACTTTTGACGCTTTAAAAGCAATGCGGTCTACAGATCATGTTAATGTAAGGCGCTGACTCAATTCAGTAATGGAAACTTGCTCGAACAAACATACTTTATCTTTCTCCCTTTGGACCCTATTTCAAAATCAGTATACTTAAGCTGTTATGACGACTGTCACTACTACCGTATCCTAGCACAACTGTGTCGTCTCCTTTATTGTGATTTACGATTTTATTATCGTATATTTACTCTCAGACTATCTACTGGAATAGACAAATATGATGACTGGAATTATATCATCAATCATCTTTTTTATGTGCATGTATAACATTTTCAATCAGGAAATTATTATTTCAACTTTTCTTTCCGTTTTGAATATGACAAACATAAACTGCTTTTAGTTCAAATCGTGTAATAGTATGTTCTCAATGTAGTATACATAAACTTCCACATAACTTATGTTGGTAACTTGAAGTATTTTTATTTTTGTAATACCAACACAATAAAACGTTTGATGTTGTCGATAGCGTTTGTAAATATGATATTTGCAATACGAAGCAAAAATTTAAAAAAAAACGTGCCATGGAACATGAATTATCATTTTAAAAACGTGACATATTTTGAAATTTAAAACAACATATTGTAGATATGTATTGTAAAGTACATAGACAATATAATATCAAGAGCGAAATCGATGTGTTCGAGTTGCACCTCCACTTGAAAGTGTTATTTTTTAAATATAATAATTTACACCTATACTCGAATTAAATATAATACATAAGATATTCTATATTGAGAACAGATTATTGTATACCATCACACTTAAAACAGCAATATCACTACTCGTAAGAACAAGTTTATAGATTATTTTGTTGATTAAAGTTAAGAACAAATATAAAATTGTATTAACAATAGGATTTTGGCATACCGTACAATTAGAACAAAATTAATGTATGTATGTGAGTGTTCGAATACAAATTTTCGTCGGCGATTTTGTGATCAACCGATTTAAAGAATTCAAAAAATATTCGATTCGTATTGATGAGGAGACGTGCTGATTAGTCAGCAAAGGTAGGTTAGGTCCAGTCGTTCGAAAAGATACGGGGCAAAAAGCGTCAAAAATAGTAAATCAGTTTCTGAGGGTACGGAGCGTCCGATTTGAATGATTCAAAAAACATTTGATTTGTATTGACAGAATGAATATTTGATTAATAGTAAAAATAGTAAAAAAAAAAACACATTTGGCGGCTCAAACTTATCATTAGGCACATCATCAGATATTTTATAGAGGAATTATTAGAAGTATTTTCAAGGGTTTCAAAAATTTTAATGCTTTTTTAAAAATTGTAAGTTTTGGTACGGGAAGTTTCTGCAATTTGCCTTAAGGCACAATGTTATGCATCACTAGTTCAAATTGTAATTGAAATGGACAATTAGATAGTATATCAATAGAACTTGCGGTTAGTATTAGTGTTGTGTCAAAATCTACTAAAAGTTGTTTTTGCATTCAGCAATATTTAGAAAACAGCGCCATGAAAAAGTAAGAATGAAGTTTCATAAGCAAAACTAATGGAAATACATATACCTATAATACCGCAGATCAATTGAAACCTGCGAGGATCATACATACCACAATATCCCTCAGACACACTACACATGTTTTATTACACTGCGGCAAGAATAATCACTGATAACATATTTTACACACACTTAAATAGAAAATAACTCTATATATAAAACTCCACTTACATCCTCGACGGGAAAATCATAGCAGTCGGCAATTTTTTGATACAACTCCCTGACATTAGAAAATCCAGAAATAAGCCCGGTGGGGCTGCCGTGGGCTTGCTGGCAATGAAATACGAGCTGTTGCTGTTGTTTAACGTGTCCTGTCGACATTTCTTTAACCGAATTCACGCCGTTAACGTTCTTATGGGCCTGATAATTATGATCAGGTTGGTTCTGGTACTGCGCTTCGGTTGCCGTACCTTTCCCGTTTCTCTGTCTATTGAAAAAAGACATATTTTGGATGGCTCGATATCTTATCCTACACTTTTTTACCGATAAGAAAAAAAAATCTATATAAACCGATCCGCGATAATCTTGTCAAATTCGCTTACGAGCAGCGTGAGTTTTGCGGTGTCGCATATTCACTGCTAAGTTTTCACTGACATAACACTTTTTCCCACTCACACACGTGGAGACGAAGGTATCTCTTTGTGTTACTGATAAGAGACTAATTCAGAAAAATAATGAGCGATATGATATCGCTGGTTCGTGTGCCGCGGTTCGCACAGCCGACGATCTGATGTATGTTGATTGGACTCGCAGCCGCGGTGTACTGCCGAAGACAGGTGCATGCAGAACGAACGAGTGAGCGGCATTCGATCCCCCACACACGAATGCAATGCACTCTTTCTATAAGTTCAGGCCGCATTTGACGGTCATGCACAAATTCGACTCCATTCGACTTTCGGATAATTGACAACCCTCTATTGCACTAAAAATATATTTAAGGGGGTTGTTCTTTTTTTTACAAAAAATGCAAGGTATTTGTTTTTGTTTTCCTCGAAATGTATTTATCATAGAGACATGCGGCTTTTTTAAACAAAAATTACAAAATCATAGAATATTACGAAATTTTCTTTTTCTTTTTTTTTTGCTGTCATTTTTTAACCAGGGTGCGACAAAGTCGGCCTTGCAAAATCGATCTCTTTTCCTGAACACAGATAAATCCGTTGCGCATCGCCTGAAACAAAAAAAAAAAGAAACTACGTTGAAGAAGAAGTTTGAATCCAGTCCCCCTACCAAAATGAAGGAAAAAGCAAGAAGGAAAAAAATGGCAGCTATTTTTAAAAAAAGTGTTGAAAAAGGCCTTTTTTTGGGGTGAGAAGCTTCGCAAAAAATTTTTGCGTAATGTTATCAAGTTGTTTGAGGTAGGGGGACTAGGTATTGCAGTGGTGAACAATTTAAAAAAAATGCAAGTCGATCCGACTTGTAGTTTTTTTTTTAATTTGTGGCACCGCATTGAAAAAAGTCAATTTGAGAAAAACGTATTTAAAGTTTTTAATATAATGTACTAAATACACCATTTAATTTAACGTACTAGATACACCATTGTGTTCAAAAATGCTGACACATTAAAAAGGTCATGTATATGAGGTGTTATAATGAAAAAGAGAGCAGCTGGCATACAATAGCTCCGGAGCGATGAAAAAAACGCTTTCAGTGGATCTATATATATATATATATATATATATATATATATATATATATATATATACATATATATATATCTATAACTTCGTCAAAAAAATAGATATTGAGATTATTTTTTTTTAAATAATTATAAGGTTTTTAGCTTTCATAATATCAAAAAATTTCAAAATAGAAAAAAAAATAAAAACCGAACAACCCCCTTGAAGGATCAGGATCGACAACTTTTTATAAATCTACTTTTTCTCCTTTAATAATATTCTAAGTAAGATCTTTTGGATAACTGACAACCCTTTATTGCAACTACAAATATATTTAAAGGATCAGGATCGACAACTCTTTATAAATCTACTTTTCCTCCTATAATAATATTACGTTAGATCTGAACGCAAGTACTGGATATCTTTTATGTTGCTGTTGTTGTCAGATTATGGGGGATCAAACTAGTGGTGCATGGCATCGTTGGAACTTCCCGGACCAAATATTAAAATTTAAACTAGTGGGGTGCATGGCATTGTGCCTTAATTGCTGGAACTTCCCGTACCGTAATTGAAAATCTTGGTACGGAATCCAAAATGTGTACACATTATGATAATCTCCATAATATATCTGATAATTTGATGTGCATGAGTCCAATAAACATTTTTGACCGCCAAATGGCATTTTTTTAAGTTATTTTTATTAAGAGTCTGTAATCGCTGAACCTGGTTTCCCAAATATTCAATGTAAAAAATGTTTTTTGAATTATTAAAATCGGACGCGTGTTCCCGAAATCGTCGAATATTTGTATCCGCACACACACATACACACGCACACACATACATCCATTTTTTCTCAGGTAGGTCAAAATGTTCAGAAACCTTTGAAACGTCAAGATATATAAAAATTTTCATTTTCGATTTTTATTGCGATTACTATAACTTGCCTTACGGGAAGTTAAAAAAAGCTTATTTGTTTTAAAAAAAAATTGAAGAAAATTTATTTTTAAATTTTTCTAAAAAAATGACTTTTTTGAAAAAAATGAATTTTTCATTTTCATTCAACAGGTAACCAGGCATTTAATTTCTCTAAATTTCTAATTAATATTTAGAAATTTAGGAGGAAGTAATTAATAGTGGTCTAAATTAAATAATAATATAAAAGTAAATTTGATGGGGCAATTCTGCCGTAACAGAGCTCATAATATTGCGTTGCCATGGTAACGCTATGTTATGCTTATATCTTGGTAATGAAAACTGTGAAAATGTCTATCTATTTGCTGTGCGATCAGGCGTATTTTACATATAAACAGACAAGAAAGAATGTTATGATAACAGAATCTTTGATGATGCTTTTCACTACCAAGAAATAAGCATAACATAGCGTTGCCATGACAACGTTATGTTTTGAGCTCTGTTTTGGCAGAATCCACCATGAATGTAGGTATATCAGAACATTAATTTATTATAAAACTACGGTATTTAGCGAAGGTTTTGCCAGTCCAAACTGTAAATTCACAAAAAGCCAAGTTAAATAAATAAATACATAAACACATCACGTGTCACATTCCAATTTATCGATATTTCTCAAATAATTATGACTTTTTTGTGAGATAACGCATAAATCTTAATTTTATAACCATGTCAAGACAACCAATATCAATATTTATGACATTTGTTCGGCTCTTCCTGAACCTGATAAATAATAATAAAGAAAATTCTGCGCTAACTGGCCGCAATCAATCATTTCGAAGCGATATTATTTGTGTTTCTGATTGTAATTACGAAACTCAAAATCGTATAGAAAAAACAGAGGAATTACATTTAGACGCATTAGCGATAATAGTTTAATGATTCCTGATTAGATGTTGTTAAGTCCGATGAGAATTTTAGTATATTTCGAACAATGAATAAATATTATTGATAGAGAGAAAAAGGGAAAAACGGCGCCCAACTTCAAATGATGTATATAAACAATTGCAAAATCGAAAACAGCTAAAAATAACGCTACCAGAAGAAAATTTGCGAAAAGATATTAGGCACATTGGCTAATATTTTCTCGGATAAGAGAGAACGTTGTAAAAAGCCCGGTTATAAGGGAGTTTCGAAATTTAAATGCTTTAAATGCAATATTCATTCATTTATGTTTGAAGTCAATTGCGGACTGTTTTGCGGAATTACTGCGACTTAAGAGTCACATATTTAATATATTACAATAAAATCGTTTTTTTTTTGTATATATAGGCTTATAGTTACTGATTTTTTATATTCCTAATTTTTTTGGATTTAAAACAAAATTCGGCCTATAGAGTGTTGAGATAAATGCGCCCACTCAAATTAATCACAAAATAAAAACATTGAAAATGAAAATTTATATTAAAAAAATTATTCATAACTTGTCATGAATCTGTTCATTTTATAACTCAACACAAAATGAAAACACGTCTCCGGAATAGGAAGATAAGTTTTGTACTAACAAGCTGTAAGATTAATTTGAAGCAAAAATGGTGTGGCAACTTAACTTCTGAGAAAAGTTCGTGAGATACGCAATTCGAATATTTTTAACTTGAATTTAACATGATACAGAAAGCAATTAACACAATCAAATTCTTATTTGTTATTCTCATTATTTATGAGGTAACAAGATTTACTTCCATCACTCTTAGATAAGGGCTCTGCATCTAAACTTTATGTAATAAATATGCAGATTTATTTTCTTCATTTTACATCTATTATAGTATAATTGAATAAAAGGTTAAATGCATTTATCAATTTATTTTTATGGCAGTTTACAATATTAAATAGCAATATCTCTTAGCAATTTAAATGTAATACATTTATGCACTATTTCATATAAATTGTGTAAAAATTCATTACTCATAAGTTTTTATCCTGAAAAATGATTATTATATCTTATCATTTACGTTAATTTTATTTTGCAGTGCAAAACCGAACCAGGAATGGAATAAAATGAATAAATTTTTCGCAACATATCTAGAACAAAGATTCGTGAATAAGATTTCATCGAACCAACTTTTAGTTTACACCCAGACAAATCAATTGATTTTATCTGTTTTTATCATTTTATATAATAGCTCCTGCTAGTAATAACTTTTTGTTATTAAATAGCTCCTAAATTACCCATTGATGGATCAGATAAATAAAATACAGGTTGAATAAGTTATCGAAGAGTTTACAATATTTGAATTGCAATGAAAATATGGTTGGAAAACAGAACATTATTAGATTTTCTAAAAAATCACAACAAAAGGATTCCATTTACTGGTGTATTTCTTTTTAGATATAATGCTAAATAGTGGAGAAGTGAGAAACTTGGCAACTCACATGATGAAAATTTAATAAGCACACCGGCATCGAAAATATGTTTTATTAGTTTTCTGAGAGCTGGAAAAATTGAAAGAATAATATGTGTGCCAATAATATTAGGTGAACAAGTTTCCTATTTAAGGAAAATTACCACTTTATTATTAGACTTAGCCAATGTTCAATAAAATGAAATATCTAGTCGCTGGCCAGAAAAATTAACATAATCCGAAATAGTTGTTGAATCCAAAGCTGGTCCATTCATGGTTCCAACAACAGGTCAGATAATAACACCATCTTCATACCCTGATTCTTTATTTGTGGATTTCATATTGTAAAATCTAGATCCAGCTAGACCAATAAGGATCCATATGAGAAAATTTTGATAAGCATACCGGCTCAAAATATGCATTATCAAAAGATTTGTGTCACCTCAACATTGTCATTGTCATTCAAGAAGAAACAGTGTGTGAATAATATCAGGTTGTTGGGATTGTTGAATACGAAGCTGGGGGGGTCTAATTCATGGATTCGCCAACAAGTTAGATAATAACACCATCTTCAAATCGTGGTTCTTTACTTGTGGATTTTATATCAAATTTTCTAGACCTAAATCAGTCTAATTTGTGCAACTAATATTGGGCGAATATGCATCTCAGTTAATTAAATTTAATTCAAAACTATTTCCTGGCCCGAAAAATTATCGGAATTGATAGATCAGGAACTGTTTTTTTTTTTTGATGATTTTGCCGACTGGTCCGATAATTGCTTATTTTTCTTATCCTGGATGTTTACTTGTAGTCCAGACCAGAAAGTGAAAAATGTGATAAATTAAAGAAATATAATGATAAATTAAAATTATATGTAATCAAAATAACTCTTTTTACAAAAATAAAAGTTCATCATTCAAATAAATTGTTGTTTCCATGTTGTTAACTTGTTAAAGTGAACTGTATTTCATTTCAGCTGCCTTAAAATATTGTATCTTGTATAAATTAAATATTCACATGCTAAATAAAAATAAAATATAACAATTATAAAACTTACTGAAATTAGGTCGAAATTCTTCTATTTATGACAATGGTTAGCAACTAACGTTTGACGCAAGCAAAACAATAGAAAAAAGTATAAAACGAAATAGTGTTTCATTTTGTGATCATTCTGTTTTCTGTTTTTATTTATTTATTTTTTTAATATTTTATATATCATGATTATGAACGGCAAATAAAAAACAAATGAGATGTGTTAGTACATTGCTAAGATTTAAAATGTCAATCGGTCATCGGTCAGTGCATTTAATAAGGATACCGGGTATTATTCTTATATCTATTCTTATTGGGCCAGCGGTGGCGATTTCGGTTTGCGTGGGCTAGCAGCAACTAGTCCCAGGTTCGCTGGTTCGATTCCCTCTACCGCTGTAGCCCGACATCAGGCAGCTTTGATGTCAAATTTCCACTTGGGGTTATAGTAGATCACAATATAATTCCAAGTGGAAATCGTCCTTCGTGGACATAGCTGCAACATCCAATCACATGTTAACTATTAGACGTAAGAGCTAATAACAAAAATATCCCACACATAAGGGAATGGTAAATCGATGCATTGCCTCTTATGAAATAAGTAGTCATAATTCTTAACCAACAGCTTGTAGAACATATAAGAGTTCTAATTGCTGTTCAAACAATTACAAAAAAAATTGTCTTATTATTATATTGTCTAGGGGTCAGTGATAACTTCCAGATGGGACAAAAACAATCACCAACAAGAACGCCCAGTGGTACCAAGCATGTGATGATATCATATTCTAGGGTAGCAAAGTACCAAGAAGCAAGAAGTGTGTCAATTTTATTGAGATGCCCCTTAGTTTGTTCTCGCAAAATTAAATAAAATTTAATCACGTGATAAAGTCCATTTACTAAACAGTCCTAGGAAAATTTAGATGAATTATATGAATCAATTTTGGAATAATAAGCTGCAATTTTAGGACGTACAAGCATGTGTCTGTGCGCTATAATTATTATACTTACAGATAATTTAAATGAATTTAATAGATATCAATTAGAAATCATAGTGTTTAGATTTAATTGAAAGCGAAAACTTTAATGAGTTACTCACGTATCGTAGGTATATTCTAAATAGTTCATAAAAGTTCAAAATAGCATTCCTGATGATATTTGTATTGAATACCTACATTATACAAAAGATCAATCTTCAAGTGATTACTTCTGATGTGTCGAGCATAAGTGACATCGGTTTTCATTTAAAAATATAGATAGCATTATGTTACCAATTGAAAATAGCCCCTTCCTGGCATTGATCCATCAATAGAAAAAGTCATCAGTTCCACAGAAATTGATAATAGAAATATAATAACCGTTTGGGTTACCGTCTATAAAAAAAATCTACATTGTTTAAGTAAGCACAACAGCTCATAGAATTCGTTAAGATCTAATTTTTGTTGAAAATATGAAAAAATAAAAAATTTGTGATCCTCTGCAGGTAAGCTCCGTTTCTTATTACATAAGTGATAATTGGTTACAAATAAGCATAAATGACTTCACAAATTACACGAAGATGAAAAGTTTGCCATCAATGGTTGCACAAACAAAAATTCACACCATTCACACAACATAAATAAATAGCAATATCACTCATTCGCTGTAAGATTTATAAATATTAGGTGGATATAAAATGGTTTTATATCAACTATTAATGTAAGGGATGGACCGGATGAATGAAATACTCTAATTATTTATACAAGTAGATTGTGATTTATACATATTTGTTCAAATGATCCAATTGTTAATGAGACAGACGGAGAACAAAATTGAAAAAAAAATGGCAAGTTGCATGAACTTTCCCAAATGTGCAATAATTGCCTTAATCAACTAAAATTTACATTCAGATATATAGATTCAACTGTTTATTTTGAAAATAAAGTTTTTACTTTCAACTAAATCTGAACATTACGATTTCCAATTGATATCTCTCAAATTCATTTAAATTATCTGTAAGTATAATAATTAGGCCTGTGCATGCGTACAGACACATGCTTATACGTTCTAAAATTGTAGCTTATTATTCCAAAATTGATTTATCACCATGTTAAATTTAATTTAATTTTTTTTTTTTAGGAAACAAAAAATTATTTTGTGATTATTAAGCATCTTTACGTACCACATTACAGAAACGACTTTTGACAAAATTTTGACTACCATTGTTTCAAACCTTGATTAATTTTTAAAATTATACGTTATACAATAATATAGTCGTAATATTTTAGTATGTTCTTTAAGACCATGATATCTATCGTTAAAAATGTTTCATGAAAATTGTCAGATTTTTTTTTACATTCAATTACAAGAAAACGGCCCGGTCGATCTTCATTGAATATTAATCAACACCATTCGATACATCGAATGGCTTTTAAATTTTTGAAATCAGTTCAGCCGTGTTTGAGAAAACGTCGACGAAAGGTCAAAAATCGGCTCACATCAGCCATACACACGCATGCTTTTTCCAAATTTGGTTTTATTGATTCAGAATGGCTTGAAACGAGAAATGATTAAATTAGCAAATTGGATTTTTTTTTGCGAAAACAAACTTTTTCTTCGGGAAGTTAAAAAGGGGCATTCAAAATACTTGTATCATTCTTAGATAAGGCTCTACATCTAAAATTTATGTGATAAACTTTCTTCACTTTGCATCTATTGTAGAATAATTGAGTAAAAAAGTAAATTCACTTATCAATTTATTTTTATGTCAGTTTACAATGTTAATTATCAATATCTTAAGCAATTTAAATATAATACATTTATGTATAAATTGTGCAAACATCAGATGATTAACATTTCTTTTGCTCTGCGTACATTTTATTTTGCGGTGTAAAACACAACCAGGAATGGAATAAAATGAATGAATCTTCTGGAAAATATTCAAAATAAAAATACATCAGTGAGAATGCGTTGAAGCCAATTTACATCCAGACAAATGAATTCCTGTGTGTCAGTAATATTAGGTGAATAAATTTCCGATTCAAGGAAAATTACCACTTCATTATTAGACTTAGCCAACATTCAATAAGATGAAATATCATAGTCTTTGGCCAGGAAAATTAACATAATCCGAAATGGTTGTTGAATCCAAAGCTGGTCCATTCATGGTTCCACCAACAGGTCAGATAATAACACCATCTTCATACCCTGATTCTTTATTTGTGGATTTCATATAGTAAAATCTAGATCCAGCTAGACCAATAGAGATCCATATGAGAAAATTTTGATAAGCATACCGGCTCAAAATATGCATTATCAAAAGATTTGTATCACCTCAACATTTCAAGAAAAAACAGTGTGTGAATAATATCAGGTTGTTGGGATTGTTGAATGAGAAGCCGAAGGGGTTTAATTCATGGATTCGCTAACAGGTCAGATAATAACACCATCTTTATATTTTGATTCTTTACTTGTGGATTTTATATCAAATTTTCTAGACCTAGCTAAATCAGTCTAGATCCACATGAGAAAATTTTAATAAGGATACCGGGTAAAAATCTGAAAATATAATAAAAAATAAAAAATTATATGTACATAATTAAAATAACTCCTTACAAAAATAAAACAGTTCAATCATTCAAATAAATTGTTGTTTACATATTGGTATATAAACCATTATTTATTAAACTTGTCAAAGTGAACTGAATTTTAGTTCATCTGCAATATTGTATTTTGTATAAATTAAACTAATTAAGAACTATAAAACTTACTAAAATTAGTTTGAAATTCTTCTATTTATGACAACAGGTGGCAAATAAACGTTTGACGCACGCAAAACAATAAGAAGTATAAAACGTGATAGTGTTTCATTTTATAATCATCCTGATCCTCTTTATTTAATTTATTTTTTTTACTATCATTATTTTATACGTCGTAATAATGAACGGAACGGCGAATAAAAAAACAAATGAGATGTGTTTACATTGACACGAAGCTAATTTCTGCTAATATCACATTTCTTTGTCATACCAACATACGACGCTCAACCGAGAATAAATGAAAGACTATGTGCGTCAAACAAAACTGTCAAACGTCAAAATAGTACACCCATTGTTATATTGTCTCTCACCTCTCACATTTATACACCTTTTAGACAGTTAAATAGAAATCCCAATTGTAAGTATATAATTATTTATGAAAGCGGTTCTTTTACATATACACGGTCATACATTGTCTCTTCACAACCAATATTATTTCAGGGAAACAAACATATAGTTATTCAAAACCTAGTACAGTTTTGTTAGAAATTATTAGGAAATTTTTAATTAGGGCTTTGCAGAGTGTTTTAGTATAATTATTTTATTTACCCAGGTAAATGTTATTCAGGTTGTTTTTGTTTGCTTAGTGTGTTTTAATCCTATTGTAGGGTTCACTGAATTAAGATTAGGACTTCAGCCTGAACATCAAAATAGCTACAAGAGTCTTGTAGCATGTAACATCTGATTATTAGAACTCATATGTATGCATGTATATATGTATATATATTTATATATATTAAAGGCTAGCATATGTATAGTAATGTAATAAACTTAAGTTCAGTCCGATATTGTTGCCTATTTTTATCTTTAAGTGATCTGATTACTTTTTCTAACAATGATTAACATAGGTAATAAGAAACACAATTAAAACCATCTATTTCATCAAATATTTTTATTCAAAATATATACACATACTATTTACAATATAAAGCATGTCACAGGAAACATGTAATAAATAATATAGAATAAATATAAATAATATAGAATAAATATAAATAATATAGAATAAATATAAACATTGAAATTAAACATAAAAAGAAGGATGCTTTATATTTGTTTTAGTGGAGGAGGAAAGGTGTGTAATGTCTTCAAAAGATACCGAAGAAGATTGGGCAGGTGAAGGGTTAGGGATATTATTATGAACTTGGCTCACATGACGAGTTAATAAATATTTGAATTTTTAAAGTTTTAAGGCAGAAAGCACACGCATTGGGATAAACAGCTCTTGGCTCTTTGTCATGTTTTTGTCTCATGTGGCGATACAAGGAGCTACGAGCTGTGAATGGAATCTGACACTCGGTACAGAAAAAGTCGCTGTCCATGTTGCCACATAAGTAATGTAATAAAGTGAAATATAAAATAAAAGTAATGAAGGTAATAAAACGTATCGTAATAAATGTAAAGAAAATTAGAAGCTAAAAAGTAAATATATAAAGTGAGTATCTAAATGATATTAATTCTAAACTAAATATAAACTTAAATGAGCAAAATCTAAAAATAAGCTTATAAAATAGAATGTAACCTAATGTAAATGAGCAAAATCTAAAAATAAGCTTATAAAATAGAATGTAACCTAAAGTGAAATAAAAGTAAGTATCTAAATAGTAAAAATATGAAACGAAAAATAAACTTACGCAAGCTAAGAAAAAATCTAAAAAAACACGTAACTAAACTAAAAAGAAACTTACTAAACGAAAATCTAAGTAAAAAACACTTATTGTAACTATGAAATATGAAAAATAAGCATGAATTATAATAAGAAGCTTACTAGAGCAAAAAAAGCAACGCAAGGAAAGCGATCCAGAGCAAAAAAAACGAAAAACCGAACCGAAATATGTGAAAAAAACTGTTATAAACAAATAAAAAAAAGAATAGAATTAGAAATAGCAACAGAACGAAAGAATTCTAATTACACGAAAAGAAAAAGCAGAAAATATAATAAAACGCTTACTTGAAACGAAACCGACGCGACGCTATACCCTAACAAAAATGAGAAAAGAACGCGGGACTAAATATTCCACGAAATGACAGGTTATGCCATAGATAAAAGAAGAGTATATGGGTTATGCTCTATCCCGGAGCCAACTTCAGAGCGTAGGTGTTTTTGAAACGTCAAAACCTATCTGTCATGTATCAGAATTTAGTGGCTCCTGTTTAATTGCTGAGATTTAAAATGTCAATCGGTCATCGGTCAGTGTCAACTTCCAGATAAAAAAAAACTATCGCCAACAAGAACGCCCAGGTGTACCAAGTGTCAATTTTATTGACATGCCCCTGCTTCTGTTGGGGATTATTTAAATATTTTGGTCGGGTACATACGTACTTAATTCATATAATAGAATTTTTGTTGTTTTACTATATCTAACAACTATTTTTAACAATTTATAATTGAAATATGAGCACTGAAGTACCAGCAGTTCTTAGACCAGGTAGCGAATGTATCAAAATCCTTACTGAGGCCACAATGCTATCGAATCGAAGTGATTTTATAAATAGTTTAAACGCTTACCAAGACGGCATTGAAATGTTATTAGAAGCATCCAAAAGTAAGTTCCGAATTACTGTTTGAAAAAGTGCTGTGCCAAGTCTTAAATTATCTGATTAAAGGTGAGCAAAATATCAAGTATAAAACTATCCTCCAAGAAAAAGCTTTGCAATATATAAGCTTTGCAGAGTTGTTAAAAGAGAAAATAAAGAAAGAGATATCTGGGAAAGAAACGTATAAATCGATCGAGATTAAGAATAATTCGAAAGGTTTTGGTTACTCACATATCATAGGCCCATATTGTAATCAGCATGTTCATCGTGTATCTGTTGAAGACCCTTATGTGCGATCACATCATCAGGTAAAACTAGCTGGTATATTTGTATTTAATAAATTGGGTATTTGACAGTTTACCTTTACTAGTGACACAATTCAAATCATGGTAACAATATAAATTTGTGATTACAGTTTAAATTATATATAGAAAATACATAAAGATTCTTTTTGTCAGCATGTTTCATCATCTTTTATACAATTTTTAAATTTTGAAAATATAAATTTGCATTTCAATAAAATATACAGTTTAGTGTTTTGTTTCAGATAAATAACTTTGTTTACTTTGTTGAAATTATTACAAAACTCTGTATCAACCTAAAAAAAATTCATTTAACAACAACTAGCTCGAAAGAAAGCGTAGCATTACAAACGGAAGCTTTTAAGGATCTCAAAGCAAGCTTAGCCGAGAATAATGTTGGTTTGAGTGTGGAATATTCTGAAGTCCTCCATGATAGACAAATTAGGTGTGTTGTTAGAGAATTTTTTATTAGTAAGATAACCAACCGTTTATACGAAGTAAAAATATTTTATTTAACTATTTGTTTTGCTGAGTTTTACATCAAATATTTTGCTTTGCATACATATCAATATTAGAAATGTCTTCAAAATTACTAATTCTTGAGTAATAGCAATAATTCTGTTTAAAATTAGATAGTAATAAATTAGTTTGAATTAATACAGCATGTTAATTATACAATTATTATACAATTGCATTTTGAACCAGAAGTATGCTCTTTTCTTGATGATGTATTATCAAGCATGCACAAATGTCGACTTTGTTTCATAAATAAAATATTTATTCTTCATTACTTATAAATCTTTTAATCTCTATTTTTCTGCTCTAAATATAATAAATTAAATAATTCTAATGTTATAGATAGATAAACTTTATTTAATTAAAATATTTTATGATTTGTGTCAATACGATAAGTATTTTGATCACAATATTACAGCATGACTATCATAATATCAGTCATATTCATTAATAACTTAAGGTTTAACTTTTGTAAATAGGTATTGTATTTAAATTTGTATAAATAGGTTTTTCTATAAAACATATATTAATTTTACATTTTGTATTAAATCCTGTGTTTACATGATGTTTTGCATTTAATGTTTTTATATCATTTTTTTTTTTTGTAGGTTTGATACCGGCTGGGTAGTAAAAATTGGCAGAGGACTGGATTACTTTAAGAAACCCAAGTACAAGTTTGGGCTAGGTCAGAATGATCAAGATTATCGTGAATGCTATGAGACTAATATAGACATAATTTACATTAAAAATTGAATTTTAAACTTAATGCTCTAAAAAAATAAAATTGCAGATTGTACGGTTATTTTTCATGATTATCTGTGATGTTTTAAACATTAGCTATTTTTTATGCAAAGTTGATGTTATAAAATTTTAAACGTTGTGTATTACGTTTAATAAAGTATTTTATTATTTTTTGACATTGAGTTTTAAGATACCTTAGTGACTGTAGCAAGTAGCAAGAAAAGATCAATTTAAACTGAAATTTAAGTGCCACTTTGTAATTATGAGGCAAGGGTATGTGCATATATATGTAAATAAATATAAGGTTGTCAAATATCTCCCTTCCGCCTTTTTGTATTATAAACCAAGAGCAAAAAAGCGAAAGGGAGATATTTGACAACCTAATACTTTGAAATCAGAAATCGAACGATAGATGTATTCAAAAATTATATAGAACATTATTATGTGGCTACTTTTGTCAAAATAAAAAAGAAAACTGGTAGTAAACTTTTTGATTCATTATATTGCACAGGGTGTAAATATCCTCTATTATTACATATTGTTTATTGTCTGGTTTCTACTATAATTTGTAGGTTATTTTTAAATTTTATTTTCATAAAATATCGTTAACATGAAGTCCAAACGAAGTTATTCAGGTATTCATGATTTTCAATATATAATGTAAATACCAGTACGTTGTGAACAAAAAAAAATAAAATTGGATATGTTTAGTTATGCAGATGTCTACCTTTGACATTCAGGGAAGTGAGCGTATGATATGACAAAAACTGCTTTATAAGGATGAATAATCTGTTTTGTTTGAAATAATCATTACTAGATAGTAAATTAAATAAAATAATGTGAGTGTTTTGTCAAATTTAAAATTAAATTTGTACAAATTTAATAAACTTTATTTTAATACAAATTAAGATAAATTAAATGTTGTAGGTGCACTTAACATAACCTATTAAAAAATAATGTAAATATCAATCACTTCGTTGTCAATGGAATATTATAGATTGAATTTTGTAAATGGATCCTCAAGCAGGGAATATGATTAATCTATCTGGTGAAAGTAATCGATTAGATTGCGAATTTGATGAAAATGACTTAAGCAGCTCTGGAAAAACTACAGAGATGGGGGACATGTCCTTTTGCATGTCCAATTATCTACAAGAGGCAATGAAGGTATAATATTAAATGTGCACTGGTTACTTAAATTAATTTTCTTTTGATCATAATAAGAATTCTGTAATTAGGATCATAGAATTGTTGCACACGAGTAGTTGTCATCGTTAATACCTAACTAATTTATTGTATATTTTCATTTAGTGAAGTTTTACAAATTTATTGAAGAAATATTACAGATTCACAAGAGAATTACTTGATTTTTATATCTTCTGTATTTTTTGTTTTTATTTCTTATCTACAAATTGAATTATGTAAAATAATTATTGCTTAGTCAATAAAAACTTATATACAGTCAACCCTCCGTTAATGCAGTATGGGGACCTTGTTATAAAAATCTCGGATTTAAGATAGAATCCAGGTTAATTCGTAGAGCATTCTAAGTAGTCTTGCTACAGCGTTGTATGGGAACTGTGCTATGAGAGATTCAGAATTAGTACAAGTCGCTTCATTTTTATGGAGCTATATGGAGACCAAGATGTAAAAGACAATTTATATACAAATTGAAATGCCATAACAAAGGCCATTAAAAAATTTGAATTCAAGGGTTTATATTAGGAAATAATAAAAAAATGAAACAAACACTAAAAAACTGTTTTCTACCAAAAGCATTTTTTTTATAAAACTATAATGTTCTGTGAAAAAATCATTGTAATTAATCTGATGCCGTACACAGTTATTATATAAACTGGCATGTTTATATAAATATATTGTAAAAGATAAAATAGTCAATAACAAAACCTATATTAAAACTTTTTACAACCATACTTTGTTACTATATTCATTCATAGGTTGTGCAGTTTATCAAATTTGTTTATTTAAATGTCACATCACATCTATAACACTAAATAACATTTCTAGGACCACAAGAAAATATAATGACACCGTTGCTCCAAGTTTTGAAGAAATAAGACTTTTGTTTATATATATATATATATATATATATATATATATATATATATATATACAGTGCTGGATTTACAGTAGGGGCAATCGGGGCTACTGCCCAGGGCGTCAAATTTTTGGGGGCGGCAAAATTTGGATAGTGAGAAAAAAATTCTATACAATATAATTAAATTTTTTTACCAACATTTTTATATTTCAAGAAATATAATTAACAAAACATAATACGATTGCAATGAAAAATTTGGGTTGAAATAACCGATCATTAAAATTTATTATTTTGCCTTGCCTCCCTCTCCGAACGTAAATTATCAAATTGGTTAATAAATTATTAAATTTGGCAATTTGGCTAATATAAAGATCCGTAAACAAGCTGAAAGTTTAAGAAAAATATTTACTTCAGTTCTCGAGCCCTCTAAAAATGACGAATTTGTGCACTTCCAAGCTTATAGCGTCGAAAAAATATTTAACTAGTGACTCATGGCATTGTGTCTTAAGACAAATTATTGAAACATCCCGTACTAAAAATTACATTTTATAAAAAGCTTTTCAACTTTTTGCAAAGCAATAGCGCTGCGTAGCTGTTTCAGAGAAGAAAAATCGAAACTCAATTACCATTTTTCGTAATTGCCTTTGCTAAAAACTAATCAGCACGTCTCCCCATCAATACAAATCTAATATTTTTTAATTATTTAAGTCGATTTCGGGAACACGGATCAACCGATTTAAATGATTCAATTCCTATTTATAAGGAGATGTGCTGATTAGTTATTGGCCAAGGCAGGTCCAACTGTTTTGAAGATACGGGCCAAAATGCCAAAAATGATTCAGTTTACATTTATATGCGTTCTGTAACATTGTTTATCCGTTAGACTGCGACGCGGCGTTTACGCGCTTTTATATTTTGTCCCTACGCAGCTGAAGCAGCGCGATTGCTTTAAAAAAAAGTTCGAAAGTTCGTAAAATTTCAGGGATGGGGCGGCATTTTTGTCAGTGCCCCGGGGCGCCAAATTTCTGAATCCGGCCCTGTATATATATATATATATATATATATATATATATATATATTTTTTTTTTTTTTTTGAGTATATAAATTTGTTGTTAATATATATTAAAACGAGTGTGTTGAGTCAGGCAATATCACCTAGAAATAATTCAAAAAATAAGAATCAGTATAATTCAGAACACATAAATAACCTTCAGCATAATATTGATTTCCTAGACCCGAGTATTTTATATTTTGAAACCAATATATTTAAAAGAAGATTTAGTGAAGGTTGTCTAATATTGTTAAGCAATAAAGCAATTAACCAGAGACTTGACAACTATTAGGCCTGCAATGATTACAAGATATTCTTAAACAATTTTTCAAACAATATTATTAATGAATGAAGTGTGTCCCTTTTTTATTACTTTCTGAAACAATATGTTTTACCAGTTCGCACATTTTTTTAAAAAAATCTTTTTAAACACATTTTAAATCTTTTAAAACAATTCACTCAGCATTTAGACTTCAACAACCATGTACACAAATTTAGTTTTTTAACTCTAATTCATAATTAGTGTAGTGTAGTGTTTAATTGTTTTTGTCTGTAAGTACCTATCTTTAAGTTCAATATGTTGTATCAATTTTCTTTTCTAAATTAATTATAAAAAAACTTTTTAGTTTTCCACTGAATGACGATCTCGATGAAGACTAAAACATATGGATTAATAAAGCTATTTTCCTAATTGCTTTAGTTTATTTTTTTACTTGTTGATATTGCTTGACTCAACACACTCGTTTTAATATATATATATATATATATATATATATATATATATATATATATATATATATATACTAGCAAACCCGACAAACTTCGTTTCGCCACCAGATGGTTTCGTGAGAAAGATGAAGAAATTTTTTGTTTGTTTTATAATTGATAAGGAAAAATTTGATCTTATACAACAGTAATGAATTTATTTTGATTACAAAAATGAAGTGTTTTTTAGTTGAACTTTTCTAAGTAAATGAAAGTGAATCCGCAAATTATCCGTTTCATTGAAGTGCTCTTTGGTAAACCACATTTTTTGTTTTTTGGTCTGACATTAACACAAACAAAGCGGATGGTTTTCCAACTCGTGAAATGGCAACGTATACCTGCCCATGTGCAAAACAATGATTTTTTAAATAATCTATTTGAAATTTATCCCGCAAACACTAAGCGATTGGCCTTGCGACTTGTTATTGCGAACGCAAGGCAAACTGCAAATTGCAATCGTTTGAAGTCAAACGGAAAACCAGTCGGAATCATTGGTATGTCACCAAATCGCCAGCAATTTTTGATTGAATGGTGAAATTCAGTGCGTGTACATCATTATTCTTTGCGGCAAGAATTGCTCGTTGACTTAACCAAGCATAATTCTGATAATTCTTACTAATGTCATTACTCGAATTTTTAATTACGGTGCGTGAAGTTCCAGCAATTTGCAGTAGGGCACGATGCCATGCACGACTAACTTTCTTAGCTATAAACCTTGCGGAGCCCGGGACCTTTCCAACGAATGCAAAATTGTCGAAATCGGTTCGTGCGTTCTGGAGTTATTTCGTCAGGAAGGAAAACCCGACCTATTTTTATATATATAGAAGATATATATATATATATATATATATATATATATATATATATATATATATTCTCATGCATATATTGTTTTATGTTTATTGAGTAATATAAAAATTTAGATGATGTTTATAATGAGGAGTCACAATATGTTAACGGATGTAGTGCTGGAAGTGGACACTGAGCAGTTTCATGTTCATAAGGTTGTTCTTGCAGCTGCAAGTCCGTATTTCAAGGTACATACAGTTACCCTCCACACTTTTTACATTTCTCATTCAATTCATCCTCTTAGAATTAATACTTTCAATTTCAATTTCAAATTGTACATTTGTATATATAATAAAATTGATTTCAACTCGATTATATTATAAATCTAAAATGTTATTGAATGTAATTTGAATTGAAATACTATGGTAATTACTTCTAACTTATTGTTGTAAATTAGATTTTAATTGAATATATATGGTTTAAGGCAATGTTTACTGGTGGGCTTAAGGAAACTGAAATGTCTCGAATCAAGTTACAAGGCGTTTGTCCAACTGCTATGGGACGAATTATTTATTTCATGTACACAGGAAAAATCAGAGTGACTGAAGTGACTGTTTGTCAGTTACTTCCTGCTGCAACAATGTTTCAGGTTATTTTTAGACATTTTTCTTTGTTGCATAAAGAAAAAACAAGTCATAGATTTTCACTATAATTTTACTATAGGTGACGAATGTGGTAGATGCATGCTGTGTATTTTTGGAGAGACAATTAGATCCTACAAATGCAATTGGCATAGCTGATTTTGCCGAAAAATATGGCTGTAGTGATTTATGTCATAAGGCCAATCAATATATTGAACAACACTTTACACAGGTTGTTTTAATGTAATAAATTATTTATACTTAGCCTTCTTATATTTATACAATTCTTTTATACAATTTTTTCATAGATTTGCCAAGAGGAGGAGTTTTTGAAATTATCTGCTATGCAACTTATTGCACTAATACGCAAAGATGAATTAAATGTACAGGAAGAACGAGAAGTATATAATGCAGTTTTAAAATGGGTATTTTATAAGTTATAAAAATATAGTACTAATTAAAATTGTATCTGTAATATGAATATCTTATTTTTTGACTTCACGAAAGAGAAGTTTACGTTTTTGCGTAAGAATCCGATTTGCTAATTTTATGTTTTTGTTATGTTTTTTGATGTAACTTGATAAGGACTAGTGTTTATCAGTTTTGTCTGCCAAACTTGCCCACAAGTTTTAATTAATTTTAAAAATACTAAAATTGTTTGAACTGGATATAGATTGCAAATCACGTTGATTACTTTTCGGTAAAGATCAGCTGGGCCGTTTTTTCGTAATTATATGTTTAAATTTTATCAAACTTTCTATAATAATAGATTTTCTAGTCAGAAATAACATACTAAAATATTATAGGCCTATGATACGAGGTTGAAATATGAAAAATCATCAAAGCTTAGAATTTCGAAGCGAGCCATAGTGATTCTAATCAGAATCTATGTCATCAAGTATGTACATATGTACGTTCTGTGGTGTTTTGTACTGATAGCAACTGACTACAGCTTACGTCCCAACATTAAATAAAATACATTTTTACAAAAGAACACAAGTGTTAAACAAGTTAATTTAATATATACAATTACAGATATTATAAGTATGTTTGATTAGAAATCATATTGATTATTTCTATTGTTAGTGAAAGCTAAAATTTTATTTTTGAATTAAACACTTGAAAATTTTACCTAAATAGCTGAATTTTATTTTTAAGTTGAACTTATAAACTTATAAACTTTTTCATAGGTAAAATACAGTGAAGATATTAGATATCCCAAAATGGAAAGCATATTGTATGCTGTACGATGTCAATTCCTAACTCCAAATTTTTTGCAAGATCAAATGAAAAACTGTGATGTTCTTAAGAAGGTTCCTGCTTGTCGAGAGTACCTGGCTAGAATATTTAAGGTATAAATTGAATTGATCATCCAATATTTTACTTATTTAAAGAAATAGCAAGATTATTATGATAATAATTATTATATCATAGGACTTGACTCTGCATAAAAGGCCTGTTGTTAAGGAACGCACACCAAACACTCCAAGAGTTATTTATGTTGCTGGAGGCTATCTTAGAAGTAGTTTAGATATATTAGAAGGTTATAATGTTGATGATCGAAGTTGGATATCACTGCCAAAATTAACAGTTCCGAGATCTGGTTTGGGCGGAGCTTTTTTAAAGGTAATATTTTCTTATAAAAATGTATTGATTAAAGTCATTATAAGAAAAATATTTTGCAGGGTACTTTTTATGCAGTTGGAGGTCGTAACAATTCTCCTGGTTCATCTTATGATTCAGATTGGGTTGACAGATACAACCCTTTAACAGAAAATTGGCGACCTTGTGCACCCATGTCTGTACCTAGAAATAGGGTAAATGAATGATGTAATGTTTTCATTTTTTTGAAAGCTATATATTTTCAAACAATTATATTTTGCAGATAATAGCTTTCTTAGAAAATGTACTAGAAACATAGTCTACCAAATTAAAGAAGAATTTATGTTGTTGTGTGAATTTGTTCTTCTTTTATTTTTTTTAGGTGGGTGTGGCAGTAATGGACGGTTTATTGTATGCAGTAGGAGGTTCTGCTGGTTCCGATTATCACAATAGTGTTGAATAGTAAGAACCTAATTAAATACTTAAACACTTCATTTTTTTGTATATATTTTGTTGGGTGACAAATTGAAATTATAGTGCATTTGTTAAATGACTGTTAAGATTTTTTCAACATAAGATAATTTGATAAATATGGTATTTTATAGTTATGATCCAGATGAAGATGTATGGACAACTGTGAAATCAATGCATTTTAAAAGACTTGGGGTCGGAGTTGCAGTTGTTAATAGGTAGAAATTATACATTTAGTGTAATGTTTGAATATTTTTATTCTAGAAAACTTTTATAACACTGTCTTACATATTATGATAATATTGATATTAAATTTTTTTTATTAATATGATAATTTCAGGTTACTTTATGCTATTGGTGGTTTTGATGGAGTTAATCGGCTATCAAGTGTTGAATGTTATCACCCAGAAAATAATGAGTGGACCATAGTGGAGCCAATGAATACCCCTCGGAGTGGTTCTGGTATATTTATATATGATTTGTATGTATACATAATGTGAATATAAAAATAATCATAATGTAACATAGGTGTTGCAGCTTTAAATCAGTACATATATGTAGTCGGAGGTTATGATGGATATCGTCAGTTGTCTACAGTAGAAAGGTAATTTTTAGAGAAATATATTTCTCAAGTTTTAATTAATTTTCAGACTCTGGAATGCTCTAATAAATTAAATTTGCTACTTTCTATTTTAATTAATGTTCTGTTTTGTTATTGGGCAAAGATGAAACATTGATTTTAATATTTTGTTTTATTAGAATATTCAGAAACAATTAGTATTAATTTAAATTTAGAGCAACAAAAATATATACAGTGGTACCCTGACTTACGAGTGACTTAACAAAGACTGCTTTGAGCTTTGAGCAAGTAAGAGTTTTCTCAAAAAATGTTAATAACGAAATGAAAATATGAAAAATTTTGTCAGTTGTTAGATGATTTTTCTACCATATAAATATTTTGCCTGTTTTATGCTATTAAATTATTTTATAGTTAGTCATTTCAATTAAATAATATATTAATATTAATTGTGTGGTAAAGATTTACCCATATTGAGGATTATTTAACATTTGAAATTTTGACTATACATTAATAGTTATTGTGCAGTTATATATGTTGTGTTAACATTTTTTGCTTTTTGTACAATATTATTTATTTGTATAACCATGGGTCCAAAGAAAAGGACCATGTCTATTGAATTAAATTGTGCAATTATTGTGAAATATAAGGATGGCGAGGATGTACGAACGTAACACTTCATGGATATGTATGTACTATGTTTAAACAGGAGTTGATAATGGGTATAAATTCAGCTAAATTCTTTACAACAATTTTTGAGTAGCTATCTGAGCCACAGCTTGAGCATGAGAATTGTTTAAATGTCTAACTCATTTTTGCAATATCATAAATGAAAAGGAAAAAACAATAATTAATAAATAGCTAATTTATTTTTGGTATTCAAAAAACCTAACAAAAACCACAGCACTGAAACGAATTATTGGAATTATATGAGAACAATTGTTTTGATTTACAAGCATGGTTACGGAACCAATAAAACTCGTATGTCGGGGTACCACTCTATATAAAATCTACATTTATATAAGCTTATTCACATTTAGGAAATTACTAAAATGTATTAAAATTTTCTTTAGATATGATACAGAACACAAAGCATGGGAGTTTGTTTCAAGTATAAAAATAGCTCGAAGTGCGTTATCCCTCACTGTGCTGGATGGAAAACTGTATGCAATGGGTAATTTTTTTTTTTAGAAAAAACAGACAAACAAGTGCACAGCTTATTTTTGTTGTTGTTTTATTTCACAGGTGGCTATGACGGTCAGAACTTTCTCAGTATAGTTGAAGTATATGATCCAGGTTCTGATAGCTGGGCTGAAGGTCATCCACTTACAGCTGGCCGGTCAGGTCATGCCTCAGCTGTATCCTATCAGCATTCATGTATTTTACTTCAAGGTGAAAATGAACAAGACATGACAAGTGGTGGCTCATTTTCAAAGAAAAAAAATTCACAATCCCCACCCCCTTCCTCATCGAGTGGGAACTCATCACAACCCAGTTCAAGTGCAAATTCTAATTATTTTTCACAAAATGAATCATCTCCTATGTCTCATCCACTCGTAAATCAAGATCTATTAAATGGTTCATTACAATCACGAAATGGTTCAAGTGACTATCCTTGTAAGGCACCTGACAATTGTGTGAATGCAATGTCTTTTATTAAACATTGCATAATGCCACATAATATGTCATTATGCAAAACTGTTAAATCTATCAAAATGTGTTATAGGAAATCTGTAAAGAATTCGAAGATTAAGAATGGAAATAGCTAATATTTAGGTAAGTTTTATATTAAAAGTTTGTATGAATGACATAAAGATTATTTCCATAATTTTGCAAAGCTAAAATATTGTGATTTGATGATTTAGTACTCAAGAATTCAGCATGACTATATATATATATATATATATATATATATATATATATATATCCATATCTATATATATATACAGGGTGTCCCATACCTTGACGTCAAGCTGAAATGAGGTCATAGTATTATCTAAAAAAAAATAGAAAATTTTGTTGTTTGGAAATTATGAGCCTTTAAGTGCTACCTAGAGCTTTGGTGAAATCATGATGATTTTTCAGTTATTGTGTTTAACTTTTATTAACTGAATTAATAATAATAACACTACATCTAAGCAAAGTGTCCAATTCAGTTTTTGTCACATTATGGAGATCTGTTTTTTTTAATTCGACAGATAAACTATATGATTTTAATATTGTTTTTAATCAGATATTACAAAACAATATTTATATTGCAAGCTGAGTTAAACTCCATCCTGAATCCAAGTGGTCAAAGGGTCTATTTGCAATTAAAAACATTTTTTTGATTAGTATTTTCAAGTGACAATGGAAATTATTTCTGCATGATATCAAGTTATTCGAAGCAAGGAATTGAATTGAGCATTTATGTTAAATTTAAAGTGCTCCTGATTCCAGTTTTATTATTAGTCATGACTTTCACAGCAGTCAATTGTACATAAGAGGGACCAAAGTAACATATGTGTGATCATTTTATAGCATGGACATAGCACATGTGATTAAGGCTACATGTTAACTTTAATTTTTTATTGAATTCTTCTGTTTAACGAATAATTAGACTTTAATTAAATTTTGTTATTTATTTATTTATATAATATTTTTCAATAAATTGAAAAATGTGTGATTGGCTTGTTGTCATATGGAATGAAATGATTGCATGGTTTGCTGAAATAAACACACACACACACACACACACACACATATATATATATATATATATATATATATATATATATAATATATATGTATATATAATTTTGTTCGTTCATTTTGTTTTGATCTTTTACAATATCCTTAATATTACTGTGACTACCACAAAATGTTTCTATATGAAAATTTCTTTGGAATTTTGTAAGTTAATTACGTGTTATTGAGTAAGAGATAAATTTATCAAAAGCAACATACCTGTAATGAATGTGATATAAATTTGTTTTAATAAGTACTGTCTTTAACTATGTACGTACAGTTTGGTACATAGAATTTTGGGTATACTCATATGAAATAAGCGGCTACGAGTTATTATCGCGTATTCCGAGAATATAAAGTATTTAAAATTTGAAAAATATGATTATTTTTTACTTCATTTGCTCTCGGCAATATGTTCAAATTGACTTCTCTCTTTAGCACATTAACTGTGTATTTGCTAAATTTTGCTTACTGAATCATCAAATCAAATTTTTACGCTTTACAAATCTGAAGAAATCTCGTTTTTTTATGAAAACGAGTATTCCATATTTCCTCTTTTATGGTCATGATTTATGCATTTCTGAGTTGGCAACCGACCGTTTGTAACTAGTCAGCAGTATATGATAAATCAATTTGTTTTTTCTGTGATATCTTGTTGGCAAAGCTACGAAATATTTTTGTATAACAATTATTGTAATTATATATTATTGTAATATTATGATGAATTAGGATGAATTGCTAGTATGTAGATTCTTTCAGTTTAAAACTCTTAAGATACATATGAAATTTGATTTACTGTAAAAAAAATATTTTTCGGTTGCAATTATTAGTTTTTTTTTACATATAAATAATGTATGTTAAGGATATAAATAAATGTTTTATTATATTAATCGTATGTATTTCAGGATGATTAGTTGCTGTTTTTTTGTTAGTTATATTATAAACTTAAGGTTTTTATGAACCAGACCGTTCAGATTTTGATCAAAAAATGCTTTTTTGACTTTTGTCATATAAGAAATGAAAAAATGAAATTTATTATTAATTAAAAACCGTATGATTGATACAGCGGTAGCTACGGCCCTCCATTTACACCCATTCACGTATTTGTTAAACATTTACCACAGTTAATTAGGAGAAATAAAAATTAGATGCCATCATACTTACTCGCTTAGAATTTTACACACATTCTCATAGATTTAAAACATTTGATATTGTTCGGGCGCTTTTAGGCAGGGCAACGTTTTCTCATAAAATAAATAAAATCAAATTAAGTCTATAAATTACGTGAGGTTTTTATGGGGTAGAGGGGTATAGTAAGATATTACGTGTATTTATTTTTTACCTAAATTTGTTTTAAAAAAATGCAAACATTTAAAAAAATAATAAAAATGTTTTCTCGTAACTAAAAATACACGTAATGTTTGGTGGGGGAGGGGGTTAATTTTGAATATCACTACGTATCACCAAGGGGGGTGGGGAGGTCCAAAATTCCTTAAAAAAATCGACCACGTGATTAATGGACGCCCCCTAAAGTAAATCGTTTATATGATATTCTTCCTCTATATTTAAAAACAATTCAAATTAAATAAATAATTAATTAACCTTTCTGTCTTTTTTCGGCAAACTAATTTTTCAAATCATTTGTAGCTGATGATGAAATTAGCATTTCTAAAGTTGCCGACCTCAGGAAAAATTTAGAAAATTTTAATAATTTTTGTTGACTCGCGTTGGGCCACCGTGGCACGGGTGTCCCTTATACGACGCTTATTCACCCCTGGTGGCAATTAAATTTTTTCGATATACATAGAAACTATATGTAGATAAAAATTGAAATTTCTAAAAATTTGCTAGAATAACCAAACATGCTCGATATTTTTAGTCTGAACCTAATAGAGTCAAAATTTTGATTTTGAACACCACGTTATGTTTTGTTTTCAGACAATTCGGTGGTTCTCAAGAAATTCAGTACATTATTCGTTTTTTTTTTGTTTTTTTACTGTTTTATTTCTATAAACGGAAATGAAATTTTCACGTTCTATTTGTAAGTAGAAAAGCATTAGTTTTTTTGTCGAAATGTGGCAGATTTCATCTTAAAATAATATGCTCGTATATAAATTGTCATAAATGATGCAAGTGGTGTCCTATTTCATATCGTCAAGGGTGGTCTCAAACTAGAATGATGAACATATTTATTGAGATTTTTTCCTGTGTATCTTTTTATTCAAATGTAATATTGTTTTTGCTTCATACTTATCAGTACATTGCTGAAATAATATACATTTCATTATAAATTATATTTTTTCGTTACATTTTACATTAAGGAATGAGCTATTGAAATTTTAGATTCAAATACAATTTAGCTCGACGGTTTTGAAATAATTATTTTCTATTAAAGGCTAACGTATTTATAACAATTATATTCTGTATTAAAGGCAAACTTAATTATTATTTTGATTGAATTGCGGTCTATCTAAACGTTAATATTAAGAGCTAAAACTTCCAGAGAATTGTTTTTTATCAATTTGGAACCATTTGAGCCCCTGGGAGCAAGGAAATTCGAAAATGACCATGTTAAGGACCACCCCAATATATATATATATATATATATATATATATACAGTGGCGTCGGAAGCAAATTTTTGATGGGTGGGCTCAAACCCATCAAAATTCATGGGTGGGCTCAAGCCCACCCAGCCCACACGGTTCGGACGCCACTGTATATATATATTAGGGCGGGTCGATTTAAAGGTCACCTAGGCACATATGATTTTGGGATTCTAGGGATCAAAATAAGATACTTTTCTCAACAAAACTATACCTCTAAATTGAATTCTGAAGTCCCGTACATTGACCCAAAAATAAGGGCTAAATTTTGAAAATCCTCTCAGTGGCGGTACCAGGAGGTGAACCACGGATATGGGTAGATTGGCCTTCCAAAATTAGTGGGGGGTCGGTCATACATTCAGATCCGATTGGGGCACTCTAAACGTGTCAAAATAGAATTTTTCGACTTTCAACCCTTATCTTTGGGTCAATGCACGGGACATCAGAATTAATTTTAGAGGCGTGGTTTCTTCAGCAAGGTATCTTATTTTGATCTCTAGTACCCGAAAATTATATGTGCCTAAGCGACTCTTTTTGACCCATACAAATCGACCCGCTCTAATATACCTATATATATGTATATATAGGGTGTTTAGGAACTCAATGTCAACTAAAATGGGGTGATGGTATTGATGGTAGTTTGAAAATTCAGCTTTTAAGTGCAACCTAGAGCTTTGGTATAAATGTTACCATATATAGTTTATTATGCTTAATACTTTATCAATTATGTTCATTTAATCTTTAGACCGTTATCGTAAAAAAATTCTAGGATCATAGTCAAATTAATTACACAATAGCTCCAAGTTTTCAAACATTAAGACTTTTTTTGAACGTTTTTATGAATTTTCATTATTGGTCGATTTTGAGAGGGGCAAAAAAATGCACTAAAGTGTGTTGGCAAGTTTCATCAAAAGGCAGTATTTTTAAGTAATATGTATGTTGTATCTACTAAAGAAGGAATAGACTTGGATTCAAAACGTATGGAATGTTATTTTTAGATATACAGAGTGCCTTGATTAACCGGACTAATTGCTGTCGATAGGCATTCGGATAATCGAATGTATGAAGAATAGTGTTGTGTATTTATTAAAAATAACAAGTACATACATATATACAATGAAAATAATGTTTATTAAGAAATTAAAACTTCCATATGTATGCACATATATATTTTCTTAGATTACATTACATACATATACTAAACTGTAGCATAATTCATGCAAAAATTTGATTTGTAGTTATGTAATATAAATTGGTCGTGGTTGGGAATCCGGATAATTGCGAATCCGTATTACCGAGGTCCGGATAAACGAGGTTCTACTGTATTTGGTTTTCTTTCTATTATCTGGACGGATGCTTGTTGAAAACCTTTCTTATTTTTATCTATAAACCTTTTACTTACTATCAGATTTTTTTTACATACTACTATTACTGCTACTACTACT